ATTTTAGATTTGAGGCTTTTCCTTAAATCTAAATTCCCTCTGTTTTATAATTTCACATATTTTAAGTTAATATATGAAATCATAAGAAGAAAAAATGATAGCTTGCAATTATTTAAATAATAAGAATATGTTCACACCATAAGAATGTAACACGTTATTATAAGTACAGTATTTTCAAAGTAATTTCAATGATACCAAAGCCTGAACTGTTTCACCATAAGGATGACTGATCTGAAACTAAGGAGAACATTAATGTTCCTTGTTTCGATATCTAGAATTAATGGCAACAAAAAAAGTATAATAATAAGAGAATAGAATATTGTCACCACATGTATTATTTTCTCTATGTTATCAAATATTCAGGCATCAGCAGACATGTCTATGTTTAATACAATAGCAACTTTTCATTTTTATTCTCCTTAAGGTTATTAGCAATGGAATGCCAAAATGTATCTTGAATTTTATAGCTTAGGAATATCAAGATGGAAAGGAAAATGGTCAAATGTTCGTCTCACAAACCCAACTGGAAAGATAGTCAGTTTAAATGTATGGCCTATCCTCATTTCAAAAACCCGTGTCAATATCCAAGGGTTCTGGGTATCTTCTACCTCATAAGTATGAAAACTGACTTCATGACCACAGGGCACTTAGCCAAAGAGCCATAGCAATAAAAATCACAACTGATAACATTTTACAAATGATTCGCATTTGGGGGATCAATTGTCACCCGTGTCCAACTGTCACTATATATATCTATTCCAAAACTTAATAATTGAAAATATCTTAAAGTTTTTTGCTAGCCTCACATTAGTTAACATTTGCTCCCTTCATTTTCAATTGCATATTTTTCCTAGCTGTTCTAAATATCAATTCTATGACTGCCTTCTGCATTTTTACATAACATAATAACATTTCAGTAGTGGTTGTAGTAGATTATTCAAAAATGAAAAGTAATCACAAATGTAATATAGTATCTCTAAATGGTTTGGAATAGAAGAAATTCCCTTTACACGGTAAAAATTACATGTATACACTTAAGTACAGCATGCATACACATTTTCAGTGTATATATTCCTCAATATATAGACAAATATATATGAACAAATACTCTAGATTGTGAAAAGTCAGGATGTTTAAAGCTCTAAAATGAGTATTTCCTTTAGAAAATTAAATGACTGTTTACCCAGAACCACAGTCTAGTGCAACTCTTACAGACTGTTTTACTACTTGAAGAAGTTGTCGAATGTTAATGGGTGACTATTTCTTTTACTTTAACATTTTCATTTATCTTCCCTCTTCCCACCCCCGAAAAACCACACAGGGGCCAAGAAAATTAATTCCCCAAATGCTGTCAACTGGGTTGGGAAACAGTAATAAACAGCTTACTGTAAAGCCTCCAGCTACAATAAAACAGCTGTCAATAAGTGGGCTGAGAGTTGGGCTGTGCAAAAACAGGTTCTCTGGATATGATAATATGAGAGGGAAAGAAGCTGACACTTTCTGTTTCAATATGCTAAGGCAGTGGTTCTCAAAGTGTGGGCCCTGGACTAGCAGCATCAGTATCACCTAGGAACTTGTTAGCAATGTATATTTTCAGGCCTGACCTCAGTGGTACGAAATCAGAGCCTCTGGGGGTAGAACCCAACAATACATGTTTTAAGTAGTGCTCCACATGATTCCCAGGCATTCCACAGGGAGAATCAGTATCAAATTTTAAAACAATATCCGTCAACAATACCGTTTTTCTTTTAGGCAAATATACCAATGAATTTTATCGTTTAAAGCCTTATTGGAATTGATAATGTTGTCGTTTTCATCCTCTTAACCGTTTGGCTGTGAACTTTGTTGTTGTTTTTTACAAATAAATACTAAGACATGGTCTTTTGCCAAAAAAAAAAAAAAAAAAAAAAGCTAAATTCTTAACCTATAAAGGCTAACAGCACTTCCAAAAATGTGTAAGAAATAATCTGTGAAAAATTTAGTGACACATGAAAGCTTTATAAAATAGAGTGAATGAGGAATATGATTTACAGTGTTTCCTACGTTCTTTTCAGGTTAACACAAGGGAAAACAGCAAGGGGAAAAATATCAGACAATATGGGAATTGATGTACCACAAACAAATTCATGATGAAAACATCAGACGTTATGTTTTCGTTATACACACAGTTTAAATGAGTGAAATTTAAATGTGGTAAACTTTGACCCAAGAATCTTGCATTTTACCCACATATCAATCAATAGCATAAAATGAAAAGATGATGTGAGCAATAGTGCTCACACAACTAAAATCTTCACAGATTGTATTTTTAAAATAAATTCCTTAGAAAGTTTTTGTAGTAAGAAATGTTACTCTTTCAAAACGGTGTAGCTTCAGGAGCACATTTTATATAAAAGCCACTAGTTGAAAAAGATTTTACTTTTTAGTTTAACTAGAACAGCTGCAGATAGCAATCATACAGTTCAGTGAAAACAAATTTGTAAAGGGTAGTATATATTTGATGTTGTTCACTCATAGGAAATATGCTTCTTTTATCCTAAAAATGTACATATTACTCTGTATATCACTACTACTTCTCCACCGGCTTCTCTTTTCTGCAACATCACATTATTTCTTTTTCAGCATGAAAACTTTTAAAAGGTGTAAGCAAAGTCATTTTAATAGTTCTTTATCATAATAGTGAATTACCTAGTTTCATATGAACATTGGAATACCTATAGGAGAACTGCAAAGTGACACATGGTCACAAGGAATTTCTAAAATGCACTTTAGTACCAGTCAGAGAATTACTCAGTATCCCATTTGAAAGATTACATCATACAAACAAAGACTTTTATGACTGACTAAGCCTCAACAAAAGATCTTTTGCATACTTTGCTGAAATGCACTTAACATTTATGCCACTACACTATATATAGGTTCAACTTTTGGGAAGGTCAGAAAAAGTGGTTCTATACATCAATGCTACCAACACCACACATAGACAGAAAAAAAAAATGATGCTGGAAGTATATCAGTACATTTCTTTGGAAAATAAATGTCAGACTTTACATGAAAAATTTTAAGTCATCATATTAGTTTCTCAACATAATTATGCATATCATAAAATACCATAAGTGTATTGTGAGTGACCTTTACAACAGAAGTAAATAATTTGGAAAATTTTCTTTCTGTTCATTAAAAGAGCAACTTTTTAATTAAACTCATTTAATTTCATAAATTACTTTACTTATCATAGTTAACTATTTAACTTTTAAAAACCTTTACTAAGCCTGAACATTTTCTAAATTTTAAAACATCAACCTCTTTTCAAATGCTTACAAAGTTAACACAAAAATTAGTCGTTCCAACTTTGACTTATATGTAATCATCTCATAGTTTCCTTTAAAATTCTATACTGATTTAAGTCCTTTCTTCCTGTGTATTTAAGCTCTAAATATTTGTACTTTTAAAACGCTCTAATGTTTAATATATTGCCTTAAGAATGGAAATTTTAGTTGTATGGTAATATGTATTATACTTGATGTTCTGGGAGTATCTGTGTGACTCATTGTCAAAATTACTCTTATAAATATTTTATTACCATGAAGCCTTAAGTCATTCCAGAGCAATAAATGATAGTTGGTAACACCCTATTTCACCCCACCCTCAGAAAATGAAAACTCTTGATTCTCCAAAGACTAATCAATGATAACTGTCAATACTGTTCTGCAAATTAATTTTGCCTTACTTGATTTTCTAAAATCTATATGTTCCTTATTTATAAACAAGTACAGATGGGCCATCACCATAGGTGAACTCCATACCGACAAAGACAGAACTAGCATTATGAAATCCTAGAAAGTTGGTGTGCTGAGAGCTAATCACAAAAGAGCAAGCAAATGAACTTAAATGCTAGTTGCTCCAGAGCAACTATCATTAAATAAAAGGTATCTTTGGCTGTACTACCAGCTTGATCCTTCCCTCCCCCTTCTCCTTGCTACTGCGGGATTGGCACCTGGCCAGCACAAGCGACATGATACCCTAGTGCCATCTACAGGCTATTATCGATATTCAAATTTTGTGGCAACAGACAAGCCCCAGTGAAATAAATTAGACAGCGCTGCATTTAAATCTTTATTAACAAGGAATTATTAGACCTAAGGAAAACTAATTCTGGATTTTGTTGAAATATGAGTTTCTCAGCCTCTTAATCCCTCTTCATATGGCATATTTCACAGTTTAAAATGAGTTATGACAGATAACTTATGCATTACTAAGATGAGAGAATATTTACAATGGATTCATTCTTTTCTTTTTAAATCAGTTATATTAGGCAGCAAGCATTCTTTTTTTTTTTTTTTTTTTGAAAGAGCATTTGGCCACTGTGGACACTAAAAATCTTTCTATTAAGTACCGAATCTAATATATTACAATAAAATAATTTGAAATCAAAGAGAAGACTTCCTATATGGCTTAGTTGCAATCTATCAATGATCATGTGCTTCATGGCTGATGTACATTTAATATTCTACTATCCTGTTTAGAGACTAAAAAAAAATTAACCCCTTTAGCAACCACAGCTCCAACATAATTGCAGTCACACCTTCAAAAGTCATTTAAAACTTGAGATTTGAAGGTGACTTTTTAGATCAAAGGGTAAGGTGAAAATCTTGAAGCAGTCAATTTGGAAACCCCAGGAGCAGAATGTGGCATATCAGGACAGGTTTTCTTCTTCAGCAAACATTATCTTGGGACATTTTGGAATAATTTTCTCTTTTCATCTTTTGCCATTTGAAGGAAACTGGGAGGTTAAAATATTCTCAGAACTCAGAAATCTCAAAGCTGTTCTAAAAATTCTTGACCGAGCCCCAGAGGAATAGAAAAGGGGTCAAGTTTTTTTTTACCTCTTTCTAACTAAGCTAAAGTTAGACCAAAACAACAGACACACTGGCACGTTAATACTGGTTGACTGGGCACTTGTATGCAGTACTTATAGACCAGTAAAAGTGCTCGTTTACCTGTCTCGTGTGTAAGGGGCCCTTTGTCTTGAAGCCTCCTTGGGAACTGCACTCTGAGGCACTGAAGTGATCTGAACTAGTGGAAGAGCGTTTAGAAAGGGTGTCACAACCCCCGACAAAGGTGTTGTCCAAAGGGAGTTCCTGAATCACATGATGCTTTTTCACGGAAACTGGAGTGTCTGGTTTGAGATGAAAAGCAGGCTGTGGAGAAGCAGATTTGTAGTGCTTGGCCAGGTCAGGACTGTTAGGCTTGAACGTTGTTGGAGGTGCCGGGCCCCAGTCAAATCTTCCTATACTTTGCTCCTCCAGTTCAGCCGGCAGGCTTATTGTCCCATTGATAGGTTCATGAACTGCATCATCGGGTTTGGACTCTTCGATAGTAACAAAGTTCAAAAGAGAGCTTTTGGGAGACTTCCTTTTCTTTCTTTTCTTTTTCTTGTTTTGTTTGTTCTCCTGGTTTGGGGACATCCATTCGGCACCTTGCTTGCTCCTCTGGGCTGCTTTGAACCTTGATGCATGGCGACAGCGCACCAGAACGGTGACGAAGATCACAACAATGACCACCATGGCACCGGCGATGATGGCAATCATGATGGTTAGATAGTCCTCATTTTGATAGGGTTGGCTACTATCCCCTATGTTCCTGTCCAACGGGGTCTCCATAGTCCTGCGGATCAAGTCATAGATATAGGAGGCATTTCCAGCAGTATCGTTAACATAAAGGAATACAAGCACAAGCGTGTGCAAAGACTTAGGGTACCCCAGGTCACTTATGTTGACCACCAAACGATGCAATCCCACATCAGTAGGTGCTGGTTTTTCTTCCAGAGTAATGTTACCTGTTACTGGATCAATCCGAAATAAGCCTTTGTTGTTTCCACTCACTATAGTATACTTTAGTTCGGCATTCATTCCAGTGTCAACATCCACTGCAAAAACTTCTGCTACCACGGAGCCAGGAATGGCTGAGAGGGGCACCAACTTAAAGGAAGTATTAGACGGTGGAGAAATGACAACTGGGCTGTTGTCATTGACATCCATGACGTTGATAGTTACTTTTGCAGTAGAGGAACGAGGTGGCTGTCCTCCATCAGTAGCTTTGACATCAAAAGTGTAGGAACTCTGCTGTTCTCTATCAAATGAGACATTTGACTTTATGACTCCAGAATAGGGATCCAACACAAAATTATCATTGTCATTTAGAATGGAAAGAGTCACAGCTTTATTCTCTCCAGCATCTGCATCTGTCACTGTGATTACCCCCACAGTACTATACTTTGGCAGATTCTCAGACACAAAAAATTGAAAATGATTATGAGTAAACTTGGGGCTATTGTCATTCTCATCCAGAACAGTAACTATCACAGCAGCTTGGCTTTGGAGGGGAGGGGTCCCATTGTCCCTCGCAGTTACTGTAAAAATGAATCGTTCTTGTTCTTCTCTGTCAAAGACTCTGGAGGCTGTCAAAACTCCTGTTTTTCGGTCCAAATCAAAGAAGGAGGCATTCGGTCCAAGCTGATAAACAATGTCTGCATTTTTCCCACTGTCTTCATCTGTGGCACTAATAGTTGTTAAGTATAACCCACGTCGGTTGTTTTCAGAAACTGACAGCTCAATTACAGGCTGGTTGAAAACTGGTGGGTTGTCATTTTCATCCTCAAGCTTAACCCTTACCAGGGCAGTCTGATTTAAACTGGGCTTCCCAGAATCAGAGGCAACAATTTTAAAGCTGAATTCTTTGGTGCCCTCATAGTCCAACAAAGAAGAGGTCTCTAACAAATATTGGTTGTCATATACTGCCTTCAAATGAAATGGGACCTCTCTTTCAATAAAACAGATCACTTTGCCATTCACATCTGTGTCCTTATCTGAAACTGTAATTAGGGCAATCTTTGTATTGACAGGATCTTTCTCAGATAAATACACGGTGCCATTGATGGGACTTATAATGTACCTGAGGTCTATATTAGGAGGGTTATCATTTACATCGGTGACATTGATGGTAACCGTTGCTCGAGCAGGAGTGGAGCTGCCATCACTAGCCAGCACTGTCACTTTGTGAATGGCTGTCTCCTCTCTATCTAAGGACCTCTGAACTGTAATCAGCCCAGTAGTATTATTTAAAGCAAAGAGTCTTTTGGTTGCAGGGGCGACCTGGGCACCAAAAATGTACCGGATTTCAGCATTACTGCCTATATCTGCATCAGTGGCATGGAGCTGAATTACAGAGGTACCTACAGGAGCATTCTCTGGAATATGCACCTCCACTTGACCCTCTTTAAACACTGGCCGGTTGTCATTTACATCACTTACTGTGACCTGCAGTATGGCCGTACTGGATTTCTGTGGAGTGCCTCCATCCTCTACTTTGATTTTCATCACATAGGTATCTTTCTGTTCTCTATCCAAGTTTTGCTGAACAATCAATTGTGGCCACTTCTCTCCCTCCGGAGTTTCCACGATATCCAGTCCAAAAACACTCTGCCCATTTAACAATTCATAATGCTGTACACCATTGAAGCCTGTGTCAGGATCTGTTGCTGATGGAATTGGAAAGCGGCTGTTGATCAAAGTGTTTTCTGGAATGGAAATATTGATGACAGGAGATGGAAACATGGGGGCATTATCATTGGTATCCTTGACAATTATTTTTATTTTGATCAGCCTGAAGAAGTCATTGGGGAGGATCACCACCTCAAGTTCAAAGAAACACTCATTCTCCTCAGCATATGAGGCACCAGCACAGAGTTTTTCTCTGTCTATTCTGTTGGAGGTTGTGAAAATTTCTCCAGTGCTGCTGGATACTTTCACCAAAGGGGCATCCCCAGCTTTAGAAACCAGTCTGTAGACAAGGCTGGCACTGGTCCCTGTGGCAGCATTGATGTGAGAAATGTTCAGATCCTTTGGTATGTTTCCTATGGGCACATTTTCAGGCAATTCCTCTCTAATAGTGTAAATAAGTTCTTGAGCTATTGCGGAATCCAGCCTTAAACAGGCAATCAGAGCAGCCAACAGGTAAAAATCCCTCAGGTCCATGATAATGTATTTATTTTCTTTTCCTGGATTTTAGGGTTTAAAGGTTTCCACTGAGGAATGATGCACAAATTGGAAGAGGAAGCGTGCATGGACTGGAGGATGCATTATATCTCATCACTTATTTGGAGACAGCCACTGTCAACACAATCGTATAGACAATATTATTCTTCAGTAAATAAAAACACACTGTCACAAAATATCACCACACATTTTCCCCTGCACATTAGTAAACATGGCAGTTTGCTCTGCCACTGTTTGCAAGTTTACTCTGTGGAGAAAAAAGCACTAAATATCTCCTGCTTGTTGCATTTGCCGGGAGGAAATAAAATTTTCTACTTTTGAATTAACGACAGCTGCTATTTTTACCTATATTCACGCACGTTGTTTTTCAGAATACTGTTTAATTCAAAACAAGCATTCTCGTTCTCCTCTCCCCCTCTCCCCGTCTCACCCTCCTCCTAGAGCCTCTAACCCGCCTCCCTCAGTCTTTTTAGGTGCAAGTGAAAAACCCTAAGTATTTAGCTATGGTTCCTACTAATTGCTTTGTCACATGTCAAATGTGTTTTCTTCTCTGCCACACTGAGTCACCTATTTTTTCTAAAAAGGCTATCTTTTTCTTTCCTCCCAGTTCTTCAACTGCCTTCTAATACAATCTTACTGGGAAACGAGCATCCGGACATGCTGCTGCAGCATCAGAAGCAGTAGTCACCGGCCACTACACATCCTCATTGCCTAAAAGCACAACACCAAGACTTCAGATTTCTTGCCCACAGCTTGCTCTCCTTTCTCCATATTGACAAATTATCCCCATTAGGATTCGTAAACACATTAAAACTTTTAAAAATGTATAATAATATAGGATTCCTTTTCCTAGAGGTGGAAGAGAGTGCCGAGATTTAAGTGAAACGCAGCTAACATTCCCATGTAACATCACAATATTTCTACTGAACATAAAAGAGAAAAAAAAATAAAGCTATTTCTTAATCCTGATTTCTGGTTAGAATATTAGTAACATTTGCCACACATAAATACTGCAACCCAATCATGCAGGTAAAAAGGCTTCTGCTTAGATGCTCCTGTAACTGCAGTTTAAACGGGTGCAAGGCTCCAGGCAGCTACGTACTTGAGTAGGACTGGTCAGTTCTCAGGCTCTAATCTTATCTGCATTAGGCTGCACAGTAGCTGATGCCCGCGATTAGTTCCGGCAGAGTGATGCAGGTAAGGATGCAGATACAGCCGAGTAGGTGAGCTCTGCCCCAACCGTCTACCCAATTACAAACATCTTTCGTCTACACTGAGGACACATCTAAACACGAATTTACAATTATGCATGCGAAACTTTACACTTACGTTAGTTGCCTCAACCTTTCTCCTTTCCCAGTATGCTGCAGTTAGGAATGATTTGTTCCAACACATAGAAAGCCATGCATCTGGTAGCACCAGTTTGGGGAGAAATCAGAAGCAGCAAAACGTTTCCTCCCTGTAAAATGTGTTGCTTCGGACTGGCAAATTAGCAACTCCAGAGAACAAATTCACGGATTTGTCGTTAGTCATTCTCTCCACATTTCGTCTCTCTTCCCCACTGGGTCTGGGTTCTTCTGGGTATGTAGCACACACACAACATTCAGTTGCACTTCTTCAGCTCAGGGATATTTTCCACAGCATCAAGCATACCATTTCCATCCGATGCCAGTACTGCTTAAGTCTCTAACTTCTTGTAGGAAACGTCAGAGTTGCGGTGATGGTGATTCTCTGACCGTTATCCGGGTGACAGTTGCCCGAAAAATTCCTAATCTGTTATTTCTTGCGTGCTTCAGAGACTCTAAGGCGCTCCTTTCCGTCTCGCATACTCTCCCTCTCTCCCTTCTCCTCTGCCCCTCTCTCCTTCTCCCTCTCCTCTCTCTCCTCTCTCTGAACTGAATTTCTTGATATAACTCTCAATAAGCCCAGAGGGAGGGCGTGATTGCCCAGGCCCCGCCCCCGGGCTCTGATTGGCCTGCATCTTGCGGTGCGGGCGGCCGCAGCCGGGCGCGAGGGAGGGGGCTCGGAACAAGGCGCTGACTGTCTCCCAGCCTCCCCTCCTCCTCGCCCCCTCGGCAGCCGCGAAAACCCGGAAATCTGATCCTGACCCCAGGAGAGCCGGGTTCCAGGAGGTGCACTGAGCATGCTCAGCAGGGTCCGGCGTTGGGTGGGACGCGCCGGCGCTCCCCAGGCCCGCGCGGAAGCGGCGCTCGCAGGCTCTGGCAGGGAGCGAACCTCCGAGCCCGGGCGGTCAGGCGGGCAAGGGCAGCGCGGGAGCCCTGCAGGGCGCGGGCGCGGATCTGGGGAACCGGGGCCACCGCTGCGGGCGGATCGGTGTCACCGAGGCGGCTTCGCACATCTCTTTGCTAAGTGGAGGGGCCAAAATGCATAGATGGGGGAGTCTACCCAGGATCCGAGGCGCGAGACGTACAGCCACCCCTAGGTAGGGAGCACGAGCCAGCAGATCCCCGGAGTGCGTTAAATGAACAACATGCGCGGTGCTGCAAATAGAAGCTTTTGCTGGCAGGGACATTGGAAAGAAGGGCAAAGAGGGAGTTCAGCGAAAGGTGGGGACCGCAGAATTTGGGGTCTCTGCGGAGACAGGAAAGAAAATTAATCGGAGCACTTCCTACACGCACAGCCACGGAAACTGCCTTGGAAAGAGACAATGGCAGCGTCTGGGGTCCCCTCGGTCAGCCCGGGCCAGGCGGCTGCGCTTGCGAAGTCTCCTCTAGCGGAGCGGGACCGGCCGCGGCGGTGTATCGTGGCGGTCCCTGCACTTGTGCTCCAGCCGCGCCTTGGAAACCTGAGAACCTAAGCTCGCCGGGACTCGCGGCGGCTGCAAAACCCGTTTCCAGCCCACCTCACTGCAAACTTTGCTTCCAAGGTGCTGGAAGGAGTCCCAGACAGCTGTTTCCCAAGCTGTGGAACACTTCCTTTCCCCTAGGCACTTTCTGCTGAGTCCAACTTTCTTTCCTGTGATTCTTGCTTTTCCCGTGCATTTCATTTCTCTTGACTCCAGCTCTGTACTAAATCCTCACAAGTTTCTTATTTTCATACAGGAACTGGATGGAATGACTCCCGAAAAAATATAGCTTTATTTCTCAAATACTGACCCCCAAAGCACTATCTAGTGATATATTGGATTGATTTTTTTAAGTCAGTAAACCACAAAGGTTTGTGTAATGGCTTGTGCTTAACAACGCCTGATACCTGAGTAAAGTTTGAAGCATTAACATAGAAACAGTTCACTTGGAACAAAAATTTATTTTTTGACTGACCCATAAAGGTTGTCTGAGAAGGTCTTAGTACATGATTGAATAACTTGGTCTAACTCACAGGAAGAATAAAGGGCATTTATTTTAAACCTGTGTGTTCCCCATTCTGTAATGGGCTTCCTAGGCATTAAAGGCTCTTGACATACTTAAGCACTATGAGGGCGTGTTGGAGATTACCTCTTGTTTTTGAGTACAGTAGATTTTTTTTTCTTTTTAAAATAACATTTGTTTTTAAATATTTAAAATAAAATTTTAAAAAATCACGAATCAAGCCTACTAAGCCATATATTTAATAAATAATGGCATTATTTAACCAACTCATTTGATATCACAATTTTCCAACATGAAATTGTAAGCTCTTCTTAATTCAAACTTTTCTTTGAGTTAATAGTCACAGTTCAACAGCAGTGTCTAAAAGCCCACTGTAAAATCCATTAATCCCTTTATGTAAAATATAAAATACTTTCCTTGCAGATAGTACACTGTTTTTTTAAATAGCAAAGCAAGTTTTATTATAGTAATGTTTTGTATGATTAGAATGTATATAATTTAAGAACAGAAGGGACTTCTAAGTATCCAAAAGTCAAAATAAAAATATTGCCTCACAGAATAATGTCAGTGAATTAAAGGATGATTCTTTTATCTTACCACAGTAAACGATCATTTTGCCATTCACAAAATCTACAATTAAAGCTAGTACATTGTTCCAATTGTCACCTATTTTATGCACTGCACTGTTTTTAAATAAATGAACCATCATTCTGATACATTTACAATAAACATAGCAGCACAGCCACTTTCCAGTTCATTTCATAAGCACTACAGTTATATCATATTCTTATTCTAATCATACCGTAGTCATTTCAAAGTCATGTTGTAGTCGCAACACATAGCTTAGCAATAATTATTTAACATCATTATTAAACGGAATTGTTTCTCTTTGCTAAGGGATAGCTTCACGTGCTGGCAGAACCCATTATTACCTCGTGTTCATAAATGAAATCAGTATGAACACAAGATGAAGGTTAGAGAAGAGAAAAAAAAATCATCACATGATTCCATTTATGACTATGAGACTTCAATTAAAGAAAACCACAGGTCAAAGCCCCAGAATGAAATATGTCTAGATTCTTTTCAAAGGAGATGGAGTTTAAGAGACAAATAGAGCTATGGACTCAGGGCATTATATCCTTTAGGTGTTTATTTGGCATTATCTAAATGATTGAGATTCCTTAATGGTCTCAGCTTTACCTCTTAAATCTAGAATAGTTGAGACTAGTTTGTCCTATAATAAATAATCCGACTTCTAAACTCTAAAATTAGAACTATTATTAGAGATCTTATTAATATTCCTAGAGGAAAAGTAAATATAAAGGGTCATATTCCTAACCCTGTGTTATCACAACTTAAGGTTTCTTCCCAAAACACTGTATAAATCATTTTCCTAATGAGAGCTGTTCATAATCCACCTCTCCAATATTAATTTTTAAGTTAGATCTGTGTAATTATGAATTAGGGAAATATTCTTAATTTCAGTTTTTGTAAGGGAACACCTATTTGTTTTTATGCTGTATTTTATCATTGTTTTTCCTTAGCAAATTTAATAAAATGTTAGATTTCCAATATCGATCTTCCAGTATATATATTAGACTTCTAATTAGATCTCTTTAATTAACCCTTATTCATCTTTGTCAAAGCATATTTTCTACTGCAAGGAATTATGATGTTCTCACCTGTGTTGTACCTGATTTTAGCATCAGGAATCAGGATACTAATGGGAATTATGGCATTTGAGCTATAGTAAAATTGCTTTAGTGTTTTCTGCTTGTTATATAGGTCATGGGATACTTGTGAAGCTAAGTCACCTTCGGCCAGCTAACTGAAGACTAAAATGCTTTTGCAGATTTAAACACAAACAGATGTGGAGTTAATAAAATTATTTTGTGTTCCACAAGTTTAATATTGTTCTATTTATATATTTAAACAATGATTTTCATGCAATGGCATTTAATAACCTAAATTATTAAGCAATTCAGTTTGTTAATTGGATTTTCATCTAGAATTTTCTAGTTACCACTCAGCATTTTAAAATTACATTTCACACGGAGATTGTAAAGGCTGTTTCTGTAAGTTACATTTAGAGAAAAGACCGACTGTAATATTCAGAATGATCAAATGACCTCCACAAGGACTTCAAGACTAATATTTTTAACTCTAATATACTAGTTCTATATTCCAATCATAGTTAAAAATAATATAAAAAATACTTTTGTGGCCTGTACTTCTAAGACTCCTTTAATCCAGGTGTCTTATTGTGTCTAACAGACACTAATCAATCATTCACAGGGGCTCTTATGTCACAGCAGGCATTATTGTCCCCATTTCACAAAAAAGACTAGACTATTGTACTGTACTTCTGGGGAAAATTGTGCTAAAAATACTCAGGGTTATTTATATTATCACTGTTTAGAAAATGACAATGCAGAATTTTAACACCGCAAAAAGAAAATTAACACCTTTTAAGGCTATGCAAACTGGCAAAGTATAGTAAGCTCCTTGAATAATTCTGTTGCTTCACTATTTATTATTAGCTCTTTCATTTTGAATACCTTTTTAAAAATCTTTTTACCTTTTCATTTTTAGAAAAACCTAGTCCAAGATAATCAAATCACAAAGGAAAGCAGGTGACAACCTTCATTCTTTTTGAAAGACTGAACTAAATTTATCCCAATTTGCTATATTTTTATGACTGACAAGGATTATAAATGTCAGGCTTGTAGCTCTAATAGTTATCACAATGTAAACTGACATTTTCCAGTGCCACTATTTTATCATGATTACTATTTAAATAAAGAAAATATTGAATTCTCAAGTTTTGTAATTACTTCTTTAAAATTTCAGATTATTTATAGGTGTAGCTTTCATAATAGATTTTTTCCGCATCACATGTAGGTCTCAAGCAATCATGTAGAAAACATAAAAAAATGTTTTAAGATAGTAAACAGAATAAATGTACAATAATTTGATTACTTTAAAGTCTTGTAATTTCCAGTGAAATATAATGTGAAAATGTTTTTATTTCTTGGGTCTTTATGACATGTATTTCTCTAATCTGTAAGGTAAGAACTATTAGATTGAAATATAGACTATTAGCTATTCAAATTACATTTATAAAATGATAAATGTCTAAAGACGTAAGAAAAGCTTACGTATTTTTTGGAAGCATCTCTGCTTGAACTTAAAAATAGAGACAAGAAAATGTTGAGATAAGAACACAGTTCAAGCACAATAGCATTTGCCCAAAAATAATTCAGGAAAGTTTTTTAAAAAGGTATGAGAAATTTTAAGAATTAATAAACATATTACAATGTATTAAAAATTCTCTTTCATTACATTCTTATTCAAAATACTACGTTCCCTAAAACAGAACTTTGTGTTACCTGAAATAACATTCTTTTGGGAACTTTTCATTACGTATTTCTTCAGTCCTCCCTTCTTCATTCTTACAATGTTTTTTGTCTTTTGTTTTTAAATAAACTCACATGATATTCTTCTAGAAGCCCAATTTGTTACATAATGTGCACATAAATAAACTTACTAATATAGGGGAGGATGCATAAGCCTCATTTTTCTCTTATAGTCTCCTCTTAGGAACCAAATTCCCCCCACAGTCTCCCTCTAATTGAATTAGGATGAGTCAGGGAGACAATGTATATTGTTG